GGTCCTCATGGAACCCAAATCTGGCCCTATGGATCTCCCCAAAATGGCCCCGCCTCATGAGACCACCATTTACCATAAATGGCTGTGTGGGCAGCTCCTGTGAAGTTTGGACTAAAACCCAGAATGGATTTTATGTAGGACATCCAAGAAAAAAAGTGGGACATAAAAGCTAAAGACACTCATATGAATATAAATCCATGCTTTTTTAGTCATGTTCAAAATGGAGGAGGAAGTTTTGGAATTCCTCCTGGACAGAAGGTTGAAATGTAGGAGATATGTGGGAAAAGTAGGACATCTGACCACCCTGAATGGAGGACATTTCAGAATTCCTCCTGGACAGAAGGTTGAAATGTAGAGATGTCCTGGAAAAGAAGGACATCTGGTCTCTCTGAATGGGAGACATTTTGGAACTTTGGACAGAAGGTTGAAATGTAGGAGATGTCCTGGAACAGAGGGATGTCCGGTCACTCTGTGCTGGACGCTAGCCAGCAAGTTATCGAACCTGTAACTGTGCTACAATGCAGTCCATTTCCACATCATCATCATCATCATCATCATCATCATGACCTTCAGATGGGACATGGCCTTCATTCAGACCCTCAGTTATCACAGCTTTATCACTGACCAATGCATTGAAGGCCAGTTGAAAGGGGAAAGGGTGGTGGCAGTGGAAGGAGAGGGAAGTTTCCATTAGCAGCCTGCGGCGGTATTTTAGAAAACAAATTCCTCCCTCCGACTGGCTGGAATTTACCAGGAATGCATGACCTGCCGGCTGACCTGGCTCTGGGAAGTCCAGGCCGGCCAAAGAAATCTCCCTCCGGAGATGAAAGGACTGACCGAGTTTTGGGGGGAAGCCTGCAGAGGTCTGTCTGTCCTTTGGCCCGGAAGCACCGCCTTGGCTTGGCTGCTTGGTCCTTTCCAAACTTGGAAGATCAAATTGTTTTAGCAATTTTTGTTTTTGCAGAATCACAAGAGATGGGCTAGAAATAACTAAATAAATATTTCCTGGACTCTTTGGAACAATAAGGCACTTTGACATCTATTTTGCTGCCAGCAAAGGATTTCTCTCTCTTTCTCTCTTAATAACTCCACTTCCCCAAATGTTATGCTGATAGCATTTTTGCATTATTATTATTATTATTATTATTATTATTATTATTATTATTATTATTATTATTATTATTATCATCCCAACTGTGTCGATTGCCTGCTGTGATGAAGAAAGAGAAAGAGAGAGAGAGAGAGTCATTAATTTTAAAAAGTTGGCGGTGTTTGCAAAGTGTTCAGCATATAAAAATTAATGTTGACAAACCTTTGAGGGATAGAGCGAAACAATAGAAATCAATTAAAGGAAACAGCTTGCAGTTAGAGTCAAAATTATGCAGTGGTTCCCCCCCCAATTTCCTTTTCTGAAATGCAAAGTGGATGAATTGAATGTTTAAAAAGGTAGGGAAGGGGGCTAGGCATTTATTCAATCCTGCAAAGCACACTCAGCAGCAGCAGCCTTCTCTTGTGACTTCCGTGCAAAATTGGTGGCGCGTGTGAGCAAGCGCATGCAAATGGGCTTCCCTCGCATTTTAAGTGTGCGGCTTGATTCTGCATCAGGATCTCCAAAGCATCAGTCTTTGCATTCAGTCACACATTGACTGTGGCACATAATCCTGCATTGAATGGCAACTGCACACACAACCAAATGCGCAACCAAACCCACATCCCATTGCACAGCTGAACGCTCATCCGCACCCTCATGTGCAGCGGCATTGCATGTGCAAGTCTGCTTCTGCAGCCATGGACCGAACATGGTTGTTCCACCAAGGAGAAAAATGTCCATCCACTTCTGTAGGTGTAAGGGACCCACAGGGCTCCGGCCATTTGGAAATTACACTCGTCCCTCCGCCTTCGCTGGGGTTAAGGGCACAGGACCCCCGTGAATGTGGAAAAACCACAAATAAAAAAAACACTATATTTTTATTTCTGAGAACACTTTTTTAGGAATCTCTAGGTCCTCCAGTGCAACTCTGTGGTCAACATCTGCCAGACGTTGACCATAGAGTTGCACTGGAAGAGCTACAAATGCCTATGGAGTGTTCTCTCTAGGAATCCCTTCTAGGTCCTTCAGTGAGACTTTTGGTTAAAGTTGACCATAGAGTTGCACTGGAGGACCTAGATATTCCTAGAGAGAACATATTAATAAAATCCATGAATAATCAAATCTGCAAAAGTCAAAGCCAAAGTTTTAAGTTTTCCTTGCACATATTTGATGTTATTCCTGCAATCCTGGGTAGACTTACACCTAGGAGTAAGTCTCATTGAACTCAGTGCAACTTATCTCTGAGTAAAAGTAGTGGAGGAGCCATCTGCAGAGTGGTGAATGTGCTCCAGGTTTTATTTTGAACTTTAAAAGAGCGATCCAAAGAGTTGGGCCTCTTTTTGGGCAGAGAGTTCAGCACCTTGGACAACAGCTCTGGAGTTCAGGCTAAAACCCAGAGCGGATTCAAGGCAGGCTTGGCATCTCGGATTTGTTGTTGTTGGCTGCCTTCGAGTCGATCTCGACTCATGATGGGACGTCTCCAAGACTCCCTGTCCTCCGCTGCTCCGCTTAGGTCTTGCAAATCCAGACCCATGTCCACCTCAACAGAGTCTAGCATGCAGCCTTCCTCTCTTTCTACTTCGCTCCGTCTTTCCCAGCATTATTCTCTTTTCCAAAGAGTCCTCTCTTCTCATGATGTGCCCAAAGTACAACAGCCTCAGTTTGGTCATCTTGCCTTCCAGGGAGATTGATCTGTTCTAGGACCCCTTGGTTTGTCTTTTCACCTTGCATGCCCCTTTTAAACTTCAGCCTAAAAGCAGGGCTGGATTCAACCATCCCTCTGACCTGGGAGTCCCCAACCATGTTTCCAGCAAAGCAGGCAAGACCCCTCAATGCCAGCCGGTCAAGCGGCGTCTCCCCCAAATGGCTGCTTCCTAAAGCTGAGGGTCCGGCCACAGGGAAGCCCTTTTTGGGAAGCCCTTTTTGCTTCTCCGTTCTCTGCTTTTCCTTACCTGGGCAAAGCTCCCTCCTGCCTCTTGCCATCTGCAAGGCCTTAATTGCATCGGGTTTTCTCGGCTCCCTGCGTCGAACTTTACGAGCCACCATCCAATTTTAAAATAGCTGTTCATTTTTTATGGTAATGCTAAATTTATTCAGCTGCTCAAATCAGCTAGAAAATAATTATATCACCGCAATGAGCCTTTCCTTGCCTTGCCTCGCCTCCTATTTACATCCAGAGCGGAGCCTCTCTCTGGGGTGTGTACAGTGTGTGTGTGTGTGTGTGTGTGTGTGTGTATGGAGGGTGTGAGGAATGCATAGCATTTGCATAGCCAAATTAGTCTTAGCCCACTTCCTTGCCGACAGGTGTCCGCACCTCAGAAACTGCAGCACTAATTGGAAGCTTTGTTTGTGGCTGGAACATCAGAGGTCACCAATTAGCCAGGCACCGGCCTTGGAGGGACGGAGGGAGGGAGGAACAAAACCCATCCTTCCCATGAATGGTAATGCATGGCCCCCCAAGACCACCATGACAGCGCTCTCTCTTTTGCTTGGGTGTGATGCATTTTCCATATTTCAGTCCCGCTTGTCCTTCATGGCAGTCAGGGCAGCGTAGAAAATCAGAGCATCATAGAGTTGGAAGAGACCTCAAGGGCCAACCAGTCCAACCTCCTTTGGCCATGCAGGAAGACACCATCAAAGGTTTAAAAACCTCCAAAGAAGGAGACTCCAACACCCTCCCAGGGACTGTCTTCCACCGTTGAATAGCTCTTGCCATCATGAAGTTCTTCCTAATGTTGAGGTGGAATCTCTTTTCCTGTAGCTTGCATCAATTGCTTCGGATCTTAGTCTCTGGAGCAGCAGAAAAGAAGCTTGCTCCCTCCTCAGTATGACATCCCTTCAGATATTTAAGCAGGGCTACCATATCACCTCTTAACCATCTCTTCTCCAAGCTAAACATCCCCAGCTCCCTAAATTGGTCCTCATAGGGATTCATGGTTTCCAGGCCTTGTGAGGTGGGTAGGAAGGTTCGGCGAAGGAAGGTTAATCTTGGGGTTTGGAGCAAGCTCCTCTCCCACGTTCAGGTTCCCCCATTTGTGGTTGGTGGCCCTTCAGTTGGGAAGGAGCTGGACAATATTCTCCAGGTTCTCATGCCCCCTCTTGCAATTTGCCCCAACTTTTGCAAAGAGGTGCGAATTTGTTAAAATTCCATAAACGTTGCAGTGACCCATAAAACCCACGGACGGACGGACGGACGTTTCTTTGCCTGTTTACTCAGGCCTGCCTTTGCTGTTTGCACCGTGTAATTTTAACATGTCAATTTGCTCTCCGACAGAAAACATCTGGAGTTTTAATGTGCCAAAAAAAGGAAGAGGGAGGGAGGAAGAGAGAGAAAGACCCCCTCAATTTGGGGGAGACCTGGTCTTTATGTCGCATTTAGCACTCGGGGTAAACAGCTCTTCAAGGAGAGCGGTCCAGCTCCGATCCGTGGGCCGAGTCTTGGCTCGCGCCTCCTGTTGTATGCCTGAAAGATTAGTAAATTTTATCCTAATTAAAATTTAAGAAAAGCCAAGATGGGAGTGCGAGCTATTTAACCGGCGCATCGTTTGCAATTAAATTTCCAACTGAGCCGGCTGCCCAATATTGACATCAATTTCTGTTGGGTTTCTTTCCCTCTCTCTCTGTCTCCCTCCCACCTTCCAACAATCTTATTATTTTGCCATCATGAATAACAATGAAGGAAATTAGACTTTTAGAAAGGATTTTCCTCGCAGGGTTGAAGTACAAAGCCCCGGTGCGTTAATTCGTTTTCTCAAGCTTGATCACACCAGATTCCTCTCCAAGGGATTGATTGCCCACAAGTCAGGCTCCCCAAAATGTCCAGAAATGGGGGTGTCACTAGCTGGAGGGGCAGAAATTCTGCCATCTTCCTTCAGTCACCAAATTCCTAGCATCGTAGAGATGCTGATGGGCCAGTGTGGTGCTGTGGACTGAGTGCTGGACTATGACTCTGGAGACCAGGGTTCTAATCCCCGCTGAGCCATGAAAACCCACCAGGTGACCTTGGACATGTCACATTCTCTCAGCCTCAGAGAGAGGCAAGGGCAGCAAATCTTCTGAACAAATCTTGCCAAGGAAACCCCGTGATAGGTTCACCTTAAGGTCTCCATAGGTTGGAAGCAAGAACAACAACAGAGAGGGCTGGAAACCATTTGCACCAAGAACTCTTACATTTGCTGAGCTACGTAGCTTTCCCTGTGCCTTTTCTCTGGGCTCCAAAACTGCATGCGAAGTTTTAAGTTGCGACGATGCTTGGAATTTGGGGATGGAAAGAGACCTCGGACCTCCAAGCAGAGGCCAGGAGGAGACACCCGGCGCCTATTTCGTGAAGGCATCAACACGAAACACAGGTTGCGTTTGGAGGACTCCCACCTGCGCAAAGCCCCTCTTCAAGTCCAGCGGCCCATTCATTTATTCAATAGATACCCTGTCTTCTTCCCAGTATAGGAACCAAGATCTCTTCCATGGCACACAATGATCACCAAGGTCCAGGATTCTGTGAGATGGGGACATGGCAGTTAAAGCGGTGTCAAACTGCATTATTTCTGCAGTGTGGATGCAGCCATGGCCATACAGAACAGGGGCTCTGGTGGGTCGCCCTGTTGCAGGATCTGGGCCACGGTCTCCCCAAAGCCCTAAGAGTCTCTCTTGTTTCTCTCTGCATTTTCATTTCTATTTTTAAATCTAAGCCAACTGTCGGACAAGATCTCAACAGTCCTCTGCCGCAGCTTGAAGTGAGGCCCAGAGGAGATTTATTATATTTTAAAAGCATGATCGTGGTTCATCCTGATCACACACATACACACCCCACACAACAGCCATAATATGGGATAATTGGAAGCCCTCTGGAAAAACCCCAAACCCTTCTCCCCACCATGAAATCTGGGAGGAAAAGTGAGGGTCGGCTTTGCTTTAATTAAGGGGAGAAACCACATTTTCCTTTGGTGGAGTCGAGAGGGAAGAGCGGCCGTTCCACCAGATCCAGAAGATTTTCCATATCATCAGCTGCAATTAGTCATGTTTGTCTGCAAATAAGCGTTGAGGGCATTTTATTTTTTTGGATATTCTGTTAACGCCTTAAGAAAGCTGGCGGTAGTTCCCCTCCTGTCAGATTGTCGACATTTCCAAACGTGGCTTCAAGGAGTCACACATTGTCTGTAATGGGACTCAAGTAATTGTACATTTCTTTCTAAATGATTAATGAGGGGCATTGAAAAATGCTGGGAGGACATTCTCCCTCTTTAAATCTGGAGTTTGGCCCAATGCAGTTCCCTGGAACGTGGCTGGGATGGCAACCGCTTCCAACTGTCCCAGAAATATTTATGAGTTGGCAACTGAAGGAAGGAGGATTGTGCAGATTTCAAATGGAAAGGGAGAGTCAAGGATGGGTTCATCTCCAGCATCCCAGCGCTGATAATAAGGGTAATCTGAAGGAGAAATGGAGAGACGTTCCCATTGCCAAGAACTTCGGTGTCAAGGCAAACAGGCGGAACATTTGTAGAGCGTTACGGATTGTTTGGAAACAACATGGTTGCATTTAGTCCAAGGGAATATATATATATATATATATATATATATATATATATATATATATATTCCCCCTCTCATGGAAGACTCTGCAAAAAGTTCGTCCTGAAGTTTTTTGGCTGTGTGATTTGAGTCGAAGAAAGCAAATTATGCTCAGTGCCAGTTGGCTAATGCCTGGGATGTCATGAACCCATCTCCTCCTCCTCCTCCCCACCTAAATCCACACAACAATTTTTGTTACTGAGGGTTCTTTCAGAGTAAATTAGGGTTCACAGCCAGAAAACCAAGACGTAAGTCCTGGGCACGCAGGTGCATAATTGTACTTGCACACAAGTCTTGGCTTCTTGTGACCAGAACCCATTGTGTGCTCGTAACAATTGGTGTCCTCAATGAACTGGAGCCATTGCTCTCTGTTGCTAGTTAATGTTTATTATCACAGACCACAAAGGTACAGGGTGGCCTGACCAGTCGCGTTTTGCTCTCTTTGTCCAATACGTCAACCACACATTTTCTTTCTACTGACCTAATCTTGGCTGTTGGAAAGACATGCAGAAGATTGCAAGAGCTTACACATTTTTACTACCTTCAAACTGGCCTCATAGAGGCATGATACTCATATGGATTTTGAAATTGTTCTGATGGCCAGTAAGTCAGCTACCTTGGCCTTTTGGAGGTATGTGATGGGGGCATTGCTAGTTGATCCATCGCCCTCCGACCCCAGGGGAGCCTCCATTATCCGGGTTCTTCTGGCAGAGTTTTGAAGGACCGGTCGGTCACTCCACGAACCTCTGCAGGGATTGGACTTGACACTGATCGGCAGATCTGCAAATTGCTCAAGGATATCTTTTCTACTTTGAAATCTTGTCTTGTCTGCCTGTGTTAGGCTCAAAAGAAACCACTCTGAAGTGGCTGCCAAAGTTGGAAGGACACCGCTGTTTGTCTGCCAGGTGGGAGCATGGAAGGTGTGCTTTCCAGAGGCACATGTGTGTTGTGGTGCCAGGC